CTGGGGCTGTTTTTGGCTGCTCTCTCCTCCTCCTCCAGGTTCGTGAGCCGACAGCCTCCTCAGGGGGAGACATGAGCATGAGCTCTGGGGGTGGAGACTTTCCTGTTTCCTGGATGTTGGACTTTCCTATTGATACTGACCATTGTGGCACGTTCTTGGAGAAAATCCAGTGCAGATGTTGAGAGCCAAAACACAGAATGTATCTGTGATTGAACTTCCAAACACTTTTGTTTAATGGCTGTTGTTAGTTTGTAAAGTAAACATTTTGGATGACAGGTGTTATGTTTCCATTGCTTAACTTTTTTATCATGGAAAAATTCAAACATATCCAAAAGTAGGGTGGAAGTATAACCGTCCCCCACGTACCCATCAGCCGGCTGCAACAGTCGCCCACTCACGGTCCATCTTGTTCTAGCTCTCCTCCCCCTGCTCCCAGCCCCCGCCCCCTGGGTTATTTTAAAGCAAATCCCAGGCATCACATCACTTCATACAAAAATACATATCTCTGAAATGCAAGCATTCTTTTAAAAAAGAAAAAGGACCACATTATTATCACACCTAAACAGATTTTTTTCCCCTTAATATTTCCTCAAATATCCAGTTAGTGTTCAATTTCCCCAGTTGTCTCAGACACTGTTTTTATAGTTTTTTCCCAAATTGGGATATAAATAAAATCCATACATTGCTTGATATATTTTTTTAATATTTTAGAAATCCCTCCCCCTCTGTTTTTCCTTGCAATTTATTTATTAAAGAAACAAGTCAGTTTTTTCCTCTGCATTTGAAAAGAAGGGTAGTGAAGTTGCAGATTACTAGGATCATTTTGAAATTGTGATGAAATGCTCTACATTACAAAATATATATAGCGTTTGAGAGAAATGTATTCCGTGTCTCTAATTAAAAGTCACCTCTCGGGCTTCCCTGGTGGCGCAGTGGTTGAGCATCCACCTGCCAATGCAGGGGACACGGGTTCGAGCCCTGGTCCGGGAAGATCCCACGTGCCGCAGAGCGGCTGGGCCCGTGCGCCACAACTGCTGAGCCTGTGCTCTAGAGCCCGTCTGCCACAACTAATGAAGCCCTCGGGCATAGAGCCCGTGCTCCGCAGCGGGAGAGGCCACCGCAATGAGAAGCCGGCGCACCACAACGAGGAGTAGCCCCTGCTCCCTGCAGCTGGGGAAAGCCTGCGTGCAGTAACGAAGACCCAACTCAGCCAAAAATAAATAAAAGAAAAGAAATTTATTAAAAAAAAAAAAGTCACCTCTCATTGAGGTCCTCCCTGGCCACCCAGTGTACAATTCGTCATCTCCCAAACCCTCAGTGCTTTACATCCTCCTTTCCTATTTTATCTTTCTTCCTGGACACCTAGCACTGCCTTACATGCGCTATATTGTTACATTTTACTTGTGTGTTATCTGCCTCCCCTCTAGAATGTAAGCTCCAGGTGGGCAGGGGTTTTGTGTGTTTTGCTCTCTGCTGTATCCCCAGCACTTGGGTAAGTGAACGAAGGAATGTTAAGGCAAGGCAGAAACAGGGTGAGGATGGCTGTGGAGGGCGGGGCAGGGGCATGCAGAGGGGAACGCAAGTATCTCCGCGCCCCTCCCCTTGTTGATTTCTGGTATCCACTAGAATCAGAGACCCCTACAGATCTCTGGGAGAAGCTCAGATGACAAATGTCTTTTGCTTGTCACTCAGTGATAGAAGAGCCTCTCTGCAGATGCTGACACAGTACCTTGGCCCTTTCACTCCATCGTAGGCTCAGGCCCCCTCAACCAGAGGCTAGTGTGGCCAGGTTAATCTGCAGAATCTGTGCTGTTTCTGCTGGGAGGCCAGTCCCTACAGACCATCGACCGTGGTGTTCAAAGGTGCTCCCAGCGAGGATGGTAGTCTTCCACAGTTTATCTTGATTCAGAACAGGTTTCCCAGCCTTTAGCCTTTAGCCTGGTTGGATTGCAGGCAGGCTGAGAAACCGCGCTCTGCCCTGGAATGCAGCAGGAGAAGCCCGGGTGAGTCACCACCGTGCTCTTAGCCAGCAGTGTGGCCTCAACCAGGTCCCTCCACGGTGCCGTAGTGTTCTTGCCTGTAGAATGGCGGTGGCATCCTTTCACTGCCGCAGGGTCGTTGTGAGCTTTTGTTGTTGGGAGTTATTTCCGCTGTCCACTGAGGCAGGGATGTTAGCCCAAATCCTCCAGTCAGGCTTCATGAGAAGGCAGTGTCTGGTTGCTCCAGGCGAGGCTGGGATTGCAGTGGCTGAGGAGACAGAGCCCTTACCTCTCCTCTGGGCCAAGGAAGGCACGGTCCCAGTAGTGGGAGGGGGCGTGTGTGGCTGAATCTTGGGGCCCCCTTGCCTGCTTTGGGGGTAGGGAGAGGAGATGCATTTAGCTGAGTGGAGCTGACAGGGCTCCTCTCACCATCCCTCCCTGCCTGGGGGCCTGGGCAACCTCTACAGAGAGACTTGGAGCAGAACTGGGGACAGGAGGCCCCAGGAACTTCTCTGCAGATGCTGACAAGTATCTTGGCCCTTTCACTCCATCGTAGGCTCAGGCCCCCTCAACCACAGGCTAGTGTGGCCAGGTTTATCGGCAGAATCTGCTGTTTTGGGTGGGAGGCTAGTCCCTGCAGACATTTACCATCTGAGCTTCTCCCAGAGATCTGTAGGGGTCTCTGATTCTAGTGGATACCAGAAGTCAACAAGGGGAGGGGCGCGGAGATACTTGCGTTCCCCTCTGCGTGCCCCTGCCCCGCCTTCCACAGCCGTCCTCACCCTGTTTCTGCCTTGCCTTAACATTCCTTCGTTCACTTACCCAAGTGCTGGGGATACAGCAGAGAGCACAACACACACAGCTGTGCTGTGTCCCAAGGTATTGTTTTAAGAGCATTTCTAGCTTTGGTTGTGAGGTTCTTGCCACACTGACAGGGGTGTGTCACTGGAACAACTCACCCTAGTTCCTGGAACCCTGTTCCTAGCCTGGATGTGCGCTTTTCCCAGTAAGATGTGAGGCGTCCTGTGAAGGGAGTCCCTGGCATGGGTTCTAGGTGCCCCTGCCCCTGGCCCCGAGGGAACCATATTTGTGTCTCCATGGAGAGCAGCTAGTGCTGATACCAGACCAGTAGATTTAGAATGCTTTCGGCTCTGTGAAATCCAGAAAGGACCCCTGTTTTTTTGTTCTGTTTTTTTACTTTATTGATTTGTTCTGTTCAGTATGGCAGCCCCTTGCCATGGGTGGCTATTTCAGTTAAATATTTATTTATTTATTTAATTTTATTTTTGGCTGTGTCGGGTCTTAGTTGTGGTGTGCGGGCTTCTCTCTAGTTGTGGCATGCAGGCTCCAGAGCATGCGGGCTCTGTAGTTGTGGCGCACAGGTTCCAGAGCACACGGGCTCGGTAGTTGCAGCATGCAGCCTCACTCATTGTGGCTCACGGGCTCAGGAGTTGTGGCGTGTGGGCTTAGTTGCCCCGCGGCCTGTGGGATCTTAGTTCCCCGATCGGGGATCGAACCCACATCTGCTGCATTGGAAGGCAGATTCTTAACCACTGGACCACCAGGGAAGTCCTGTTATTTCAGTTTAATCAAATCAGGTAAAATTAATAGAAATTTAAATCCAGTTCCTCAGTCACACCAGCCACATTTCAAGAGCTCAGTCAGCACGTGGGACGAGCAGCCGCTGTACTGGATAGTGCAGATCATGGAACGTTTCCATCACAACACAAGGTTCTATGAACAGCACCATCAGTGTTCCTGCTCAGAGGCTGATGAGTGTGGGGAGGTAACTTCAGAGCGCCGAAGAGAATGCTGAGTGACAAGCAATGAAAAGGGAAGCTATTGCAAGTTTTACTTCACGTTCTTCTAGTGGTGAAACACTTTTCCAAGTAAATACTTACTTAGGGGAGACTTGAGGTTCCCCATGCTGACGCCTTCCATTAGAAGCATCAGAGCGTTGTCAGTGATTCAGTCACTCATCACCTCTTAGCACGTGCTAGGGACACAGGGTGTCCACTTCTTTAGCCAAGGAATGGCTCCTTCCTGCCCGGACTCCATGCTCTGCCAGAGAGCGTGAGATTCGAAGCTCTCACAGCAGTTTGTGTCTTCTGAGTTAGTGGCAAAGAAAGTTCTTATTACTCTTCGTTTGTCATTTGTGGTTCTACTAAAAGAAGAAAAAAGAAACCCTGGGATGAAACTGATCCTTTTCTGTTGTATCTGGTGAGGTCTTAGCGGCAGAGCCAGGAGCAGATGAGGCGAGGGAGGCGCCCAGGGCACAGATTTAGGGAAACACGCTCAGGTGCCAACCTTGAACTTGCACAGGGCCCAAGACTGAGGGTCTCCTTAAATTTTGCATTCTGGGTGCCTGGCTTGCCTCTGCCTTGTTCCACCCAGCCTGGCTCCCATCACCGCTCACTCTGGCAGGCTCGCCGCATGGTTGCAGGGCTTCTGGCCTCGTCCATGGCTCTTCGAGCACAAGCAGCCTCCTACCGTGTCTGAACCTCTCCCTTAGCTGGAACCCCTCAAATACGAGCTGTATCTCTTTGCTCTTTGCATAACTGGCCCAGAGTGGAGGACAGACAAGTAGCTAATAATGATCAATGAGCAAATCAGTCCACCAGGGGTCAACTCAGTGAATTAAAGAGACAAGAACTCTCGTGACTTAGACTTTCTCATTAACGGTTCAGAGAACGTCCCGCCTTGTCACCTGCCAGGCTCCACGTCTTGGCACAGCTGAGTTCTCCCTGTGCGCATGCCTGCTGGTGGGCACCGCTCCCCCTACCTCGCCCTTTCCCAGGCCTCTGTCGCTTTCAGCGTCAGGCTGAGTTACCGTGCTAGAAAGCTCCGTCTCTGAGCACGGTTCTCCCTCTCTCCCTCCTCCACCCCTGCTGCCTCCAGAGCCTGTGTCATGCTGCAGCTAGACCGTCCTAGGAGCCCTTGGCTGGCTGGGGCCATGATTCAAGGAGGAACGGGGTACAGAAGCAACAGCTGTGTTCACGCTGCCCTTTCTCCCTCCCACAGAGCGTGCTGAAGAAAAGGGACCAAGTGCAAGCCGAGTATGAAGCCAAACTGGAAGCTGTGGCTCTGAGGAAGGAAGAGCGGCCCAAGGTCAGGGGAACCGCCCAGGGCGGGCGGGCGGGCTGCTCCGGGCTTCCGGCAGTGATGCCCCCCGGATGACGAGCGAATTCGTGTCCCTAGATCCATATGACCACGATGGTCAGTGCTAGCTGGGCGGGGTTGATGCTGTTCTTTTCCTCTTTTTGCTCCCTTTCATGTCTAATGTACGTTGGCGGTTGACTCTCCTGCTGTTTACTGTTTTTTTTTTGTTTTTTTTTTAAGGTTTCCATCTCTGCCATTTATAGGCAGTTCCTGTCTATGAAATGGGGCTGAGGAGACTGGGGAAGAACAATCTAGATCAGTGTTCTCAGAAGTGTGATTTGTGGACTGGTCCACAAACTGTAACCATCCCAGGAGGAGAAAAGCACAGAAGCTGAGAGTGAGCACTTTTACAGCACTGTGTGCACAGCTGCCCTCTGTCTTCAGCAGCCCGTCCCGCCGACTAATTCCTAGCTGTCCCTCTGATGTTGTGGAACACGGCCTGCTGAGCCCACGTCTCAGTCTCACTTAAAGGGATGACGTGGAATACTGTATTTAAAAAGTTCACTCTTAACAATTTAGCTTCTAAATATAAGTATAGAAGTCACTCTTCCTGGCTAAGGAGGGAACGAAAGACAGCAAGTTCTGCCACTAGCCTAGTTTGGAAGCTGAAGGTCCTGTATTTAAATGATGTCACTTAAATAGTTCTGTCAGCATTCGTACCTGCTCAGCACCGAATGCAAGCTTTGTCAGAGGCTGGTTTTGGCATTTAGTATATGTTCAGCCCTACTGGGGACAGTTCCTTTCCAAAGACAGGAGCTAAAGGTTATGAGTAATAGGCCGAATTAAATGTTGACTGTGCCCTGGATTGCTGGCTGCCTGCAGGTCACACCCACTCTGGAGCAGACAGAGCAGAGGAAACAGTTGTTTCTGGCTCACGTGTTCCACCTGGGAGAGCTCCCACCTCATGCTCTACCCTTCTTGCTGGCCTGGGTGACTTCCCTTCTCCTCCCAGGGAGTGTTGAAATCTTCCTGCTGCTGCTGTTCTCACCTCCCTGGAGCATCACTTACCCATACGACTCATCCTCTTGGCCACAGGAGTCCTTACGAGATGGGGAAGGGTTTCTTTCTAGCCAAGGAGACCAACCAGTAGGTCCCAAACACACCTATACCCTCTCAGCACACCGTGGGGAGGCGGAGTTTGTCTTCCTTCTCTCTCGTGGGATGCTGAGCTACACCAGAGTGAACTTGGCTACTTATTTAGCAGTGGTGATACTGAACAAAACAGGGGCTGTCCCGACCATGTACCCGTGAGTGGGATCCAATGGTGGGGGCAGCAGAAATTGTGTCTCCAGTTGAGGGTCTGGGGCAGCCACTACTTTGGTGGGCAAAGGAGGGCTCAGTTGGCAGCCTGTCCAAGTCAACCATGGTTTGGTAGACAGAGCACAGGATTTAGAATCACATGGCCCTGGGTTTGAATCCCAGCCCTGTCCCCCAGCTTGGACTGGTTTGCTCATTAGCCTTTGTGGGATGCGTACATGGGATTGCTGTGAAGATGGAAAAATCAGCCCAGTGTCTGATGTAGTAACAGGTGCTTCATTGGTAGATCCTCTGTTTTCCAAACTAGCTCCTGTTGCCTCTAGTAGGACTGCTGAATGAGAGCTTCATTTTCTGGGTTTGTTGCCACTTTTTTTTCCCTTAATTATTAAAATGTTTTTTCTCACTGCACTGTTGGGGGCATCGTTTCCTTTTGTCCCAAAGAGTCCCCTGCTTCTCCACGCCTCCTGAGCGTCTTTCCTCCCTGACCACCCATCAGCAGGGAGAGACCTGTTGTAGTAAATGAGTAGCTTAAGATTTTTCTGGGCTTTGTTTATTGTTTTATGTTTTGAGCTTCACTTTCCAGATTCCCACTGAAAGATGGAGAGTTTTCACAGGGAGGCGCCGGGTCTGGGCATGTTAACGGAAGATCTGAGGGAATCTTGGGGCTGATTCTGTTTTGAGGTGAAATCTTGAAACGTTGCTCTGAGGAGTGAGGGAAAGTTGATTTTATGTGAAGCCATGGAGAGGTCACTTCTCTGTAACCCAGAAGAAGGAAATGGCCTCTTGGGTCTCCGTGTCCCTCACCGGGATTTCACACTGGAGTGGACATCTGAGGCCAGAGGACTGAGCCCCGTGGCTCCAGCTGCCGGACGGAGGGCCCCGTGGCTGCAGCTTCTCGGCGTGTGCTGAGGGCAGGCAGCGGTGAGGCCGCTAGAGCTGAGGGGAAACGTTTGCGTCGCAGAATTTGAAGTTTTGCTTTGTTTTTAGGTTGACGAAACTCAGCAGACCCCGAGGTGGCTTATTCTCAGGAAGATGGAGCTTTGCTTTTGCAGGCTTGGCCTTCCTCACTTTAATTTTGAGGTTGGAGAAATCACAGGCACTCAGCTGGGGGTGGGGGGGCGGCTGGCTGCCTTCTGCTGCATCTGTCAGGACCACAGACTGGGGGAAATCTGAGAATTTGCCCCTCCTTAGAAGCTTGAGACAAAGCTATTACTAGAAACACAGGGGGGCTGAGGGATGGCATTTAAAACTGGACGGGAAGCATGCACAGTCTGTTGTGGACTCATATGAGGGTAAACCATGGGGGGAACCTGCACATTTTATTCTGCATTTGACTCTTTTCAAATGCTAATATATTCACAGGTTGCTGGTTCAAAAAATAAAAGAAGGGATGCTAGGAGAGAATGCTTCATACAAGGTTAAAAAAGGAAGAAAGAGAGGGAGTATTTCAGGCCCTGACCCACTGGTAGCTTGTACTGGCTACGGGCCAGGTGAAGAGGCTGCTGGGAGTGGGCAGCGTCATCGTGGAGCTGAGGTGTTGTGGTGCGGGGCCGGGCGGAGCGGACCGCAAGAGGGGCTGAAGTGCCACTCCTCGGGGTGAGAGCAGGTGAGGAGAGGAAGGAGCACCTGCGGTCAGTGGGACAGGCCTCTTGAAGGCTGTGGACCTTCAGAGTCTCTTAGAATCACCAGAATGGTGCACATTCTGGAATGGGGAGGATGTGGCAGAGAGCAAGAACTCCAGCTGTGAAGTAGCAGATAGGAACAGGGAGACTCGTTAATATGGCGCTTCGGCAGACCTGAGAGTTTTGCAGGGGTATCTGTTGTTTCCAGGTACTTTCGAAAGTGAGGAGACACACACTTGATAATTCCCAGGCGGCTGTGATCTCAGCCTAGCTTAGGAAACCAAACTCATCGGCCACAGAAGGGCAGGACTCTGTCACCTCCCTTACTGGATTCCTATAACAGCCTCTGTCAATGTGGTTCCTCATCTGTAAGATGAGGAACCAGCGCTCAGGGGTGTTATATGACTTACACGCCAATGCTCACACACGGTGGAGCTGGAATTGGGCCACGGATGTGTCTGGTTCCAAAGTGGGAGCCCTTTATCCCCACCACAAGGGCTCCCAGCAATCTTTGCTTCACTGAGGGGTGAGGCTTCCGGCTTTTGCAAGATGCACGGCTGATGCTAGAGGGACTGGGCAGAGAACCTGGGCCTGCCGCTGGCTCTTCCGTCTGTGTCTGCTAGTCCATTCAGCGGGTGTTGGGGAGCTCGTGGCTCCTGTTCTCATTGCATCCGCTCTCCACTTGGGCGCTCGCTTTTCCCTCCTCAGCTGCCATTCTCTGAAGCTTGTTTCTTTTTATGTATTTTTTTTTTCAAAGCATTCTTTCAGGGCACCAATGACTTCCTATGTGCCAAATTCAGTTGCCTCTTCTCAATCTTTACCCTGCCTCAGTGTTTCCTCAACTTCTCTTCATCTCACAGCTTCCATAGAAAATGAAAATATTTGTATGGCACACTGAGATCAAAGACCAGGTTGCTTGAAACTGGAGGTGACCAGCCTGGAACTCTGGCTTCCCAGAGGGCTGGGGGGATAATATTGCTGTCGTTCACACAGCACCAGTTAGGAAGCTGTGCCCTGCTTTTTCACTTAGTGGCATATAGCCGAGAAGACAACCGTCTTGAATTGGTTCTGTCATTGGTCCTGGCACCTCTCCCCCGCTACTGGGATCATGTCTGCCTTATATAATCTTTGGGGACTTTATTAACCTACTGCCCTCATGGGAGCAGATAATGTGATGCCTCCAGCCTAGCTCCAAGAAGGATACTTAGGTAGAGATTCATATCGTAGGGCTGAGAGATGCGTGGCACGTGGAAAGAGTTCATTAATACATTTTTCAGTGAATGTTGAGTGAATTCACATTACCACCCTGCTCTCCAGCACACACGTGCTGAATCTCATCCCGTGTTACCCTTCTCCCATCGCTCCACAACCAATATTCTGTAATGGAACTTCTCACGAGAGGTAGGGGAACCAATGTGAAGAATGCAGTCTTGTCCTCTGTTTAGAAATTGTTGTGTTTTGAGGTCTTGTCTGGAGATTCTTTTCCCTTCTTGGTATCTTGTGATCAGCAACACCTGACTGTTAGCATCGGCTATTCCCATCTCTACCTGCTCCAGGTACAAGGTAGCATAACTCGATAACAGTACCTCAGTCAAAAAATCAGAACATTGAGTTAGGAAGGAATGCAGGGTGTTACTAGTCAGTGAATCGATTGTCACAAAGACACCATCCAGAAAGAAACAAAAGTGAGAGGAATGCAAGCCCAAGCACCTGCTGCCAGCAGCCCTCCTCCGCAGTTGGGCAACTTCAGCAGCTGGTCACTTCAGGCAGCTCACGCAATCTCTCTTATTCTCTTCTTTTTAAGCCCTCCCATCTCCTCCCTCTTCTAACCTCCTCCACCCTTGTGCTTCTATGGCTCTGCTGTCTCTGACTCACTTCCTGCTTCTGTGCCCATATTTCTTAGTAACTTTTGCTGACTCCTTTATTAAGCCTACACATGTAGGCTTTTCCATGAGTTTTTCTACCCTTTGGCTCTCCCCTCCTTAGCTCCCTCTTTTATTCCCCCATATATTAAAAAAAATTTTTAATCATGGCAGAATACACAAAACGTAAAATTTACCATCCTAACCATTATTAACTGTGCAGTTCAGTAGTGTTATAGTAAATTCACATTATTGTTGCAACCAATCTCTAGAATTCCTTTCATCTTATGGAACTGAAACTCCATATTCATTGAACAACAAAGCCCTGTTTCCCCTCCCTCTGGTCCCTGGCAACCACCATTCTCCTACTTTCTGTTTCTATGAATTTGACTACTCTGGGTATCGCTTATAGGTAGTTATAATGAAGTAGTATTTGTTTTTTTGTGACTGGATTGTTTCACTTAGCATAATGCCCTCAAGGTTCATCCATGTCGTAGCAGGTGTCAGAATTTTCTTCCTCTTTAAGGCTGAATGATATTACATTGTAGGTGTATATCGCATTTTATTTATCCATTCATCTGTGGACGAACACTTTAGTAGCTTCCATCTTATGTCTTTTGCGAATAATGCTGCAGGGAACGTGGGTGTACAGATATCTCTTTGAGGCCCTGCTTTCTGTCTTTTGGGTATATACCTAGAAGTGGAATTGCTGGATCATATGGTAATTCTATAATTTTTTGTTGAACTGCCATACTCTCTTCCACATGTGCAAAGGTTCCAATTTTCTCCATCCTTGCCATTCCTTGTGTTTTCTGGTTGGTTGGTTTGTTAACAGTAGCCGTCCTAATGGACGTGGGGTGGTTTTGATTTGCATTCCCCTAAGGATTTGTGATGGGAGCATCTTTTCATGTGCTTGTTGGCGATTTATATAACTTCTTGGGAGAAATGTCTGTTGGAGACCTTTACTCATCTTAAAATGGGTTCTTTGTTTTTGTTATTGAGTTGCTCAGCCCCCTCTTGTGGAGGGAGGTCTCACCCTTCCCATGGCTGCAGCTACCTCCTTTATCTGGTCTGTGGACCTGTCCTTTACCGTGAGCCGTATGGTGGACTACTGCCACCCAAACTTTAGTCTCCTCTCTGACTTCCTATGTTTTATTTCTTGTGTGCTGTTGGTTGCCAAATCTGTCAGTTCTGTCTCCACCAGGTTGGTCTGATCTGTCCCTTCTGGTATTTCAGCCATCACCCTGGCTCCAGGGTACTGAGGGTCATCACAGGCCAGTATAGTTTGGTGTTGACTCATCTCTCATCTCTGGTGAAATCTTGGGGTGAGGTAGCATGGGTGAAGGGTGGCATGAAGTTTGAAAGAACATGTTTAGTCGTATTATAATATTTTATATTTGGAAAATAAAGAAGAAACCTTTTGATGTGACATGGAATAAAGTTCAGTAAAATATTCTTGACTTGAGGGGTTATGCAAATGATAGATTATCTTTTGTGAACAGCGCTTTACAATATTGATACTGATCAGAACTAACAAATAATTGGTTCGGCGCTTAACACATGCCAGGTACCAGGAGTTTTATGCATGTACTGCCTCATCTAACCTCATTCCAACCTTATAAGGTGGAGGGTATCATCCAGAAAAAGAAACTGAGGCGTGGAGAGGCCCAACATCACCCATCTAGGAAGTGGTAGATGCAGTATTCACACCCTGGAAGTCTGGCTCTAGAACTGTCTCTATAGTAAGAGGAAGCACAGGGCGTTTCTATTTTGCAAAAAGGACGCCTGAGTTAAAGGGGCCTCAGAACCCCTGGCCTTCAGGAAGAGCCCCAGGTTTCTCATCTGCTCCCCGCCAGCTGGGGCTGTCTCTCTCTCTCTGCCTTTGAGGGCTCTGTGGCCTGTGAGCTGGCTGTTCCTGAGGTGGGTCCAGGTGTTGTCTCATCTCTGTCACTTGCATGTACCATCCCTCTGGAGTCACAGGCCCCACTTCCATCATCTTTGAAGAGTCGCCTCTTCAGGGAAGCCAGCTCCCCCATCCAAGCTGTCCTCAGCCTCCAGCTGCTCCTCACAGTGTGCGTGTCACAGGCTCCAAGTGAAGAGAAAGCGCTCGAAACATCTCCCCGCAGTGTCCAGCCATGTTCATTTTCTTCCCAACTAGACTGGGTGACTTGAGATAAGATTCGCCTGCTGAGACCTGAGCACTTGCCCTCTGTACCCAGCGTGGAGTGTGTTGGGAAAATGATAAGCTAAAAAATCCTTCCCACATCGAGGCTCAGGCAGTCATGCAGTCCGGAGTTTCCATGCCCAGACCAGACCCAGGAATCTTTGCTAGGTGAGCACTCCTTGGAATCAGAGAGCCTAGCTCCTCTCTTCTCACCGTGTCCCAGGAGGTTTTCCTCTCAGAGCTTTGCTTTCCCCCTTGCTGCAGTAGTTAACTAAACAGGAAGTTGATCGTGGGCACTTTTCCCCAGACGCTAAAATGAGCAGTGGCCAGGAGAGGAATAAGGGAACTGGACTGTGCCTGCGGGGAGGGAAGGGAGGTCAGCCCAGAGACTGGTTCGCTGGGTGCCTGTTGAGGCTGGTTCCTGGGATGTTTGTCAGGGAATGGCTCTGGAGAGGCAAAGCCAGGGCACTCTTGTTTACACTTTGGTTTCCCTCAAGGTGGCCAACAGTAACAGGTCAATCAGCAGGGAAAGGCAAAGTGACTTCAGTCCTAGATCAGGAGGGAAAATCGAGTCCTTTTAAAACTTTCTTCCGGAAGTTTAAGTGCTTTGGAGAACGCTCCCCTACCCCCACCCCCAAAAAACAGGTTCCTTGTTATTGGTTTTTGTGGGGTTTTTTTCCGGCCATGCTGAGCGGCTTGTGGGATCTTAGTTCCCCAACCAGGGATAGAATCTGGGCCCATGGCAGTGAAAGCACCGAGTCCTAACCACTGGACGCCAGGGAATTCCCCAAAGTTCCTTGCTTTTAAGTCTCCCAGGATGCCTGACTGTATACCTTCCTCTCTGACTCATCCTTGTCTCTCCCAAGGTTAGTGCCTGTGCCAGGCACATTTGAATCCCCTCACCTAGGCAGCTCCACTTTCCCTGCTCCTGTGTACTGCAGCCATGGCCAGATGGTCTAAGTGGCAGACGGCTAAGTGCCCTCAGCACTTTGGAAGCCCTGAAGGCGTTGGCTCCCTCAGGCTTGGCCTTGCCTGAGGTGTTTCTGGGTCAGCTCCTGCCCATAAGGTCTGGGTATAAAACTTCCCTGGCTGGTAGAGATTGACCTTGATGGTTACATTTGGGATCAGAGGCCCCAGCACACAAAATGTACAAGGCCTCATTTGTTTTGGGAAAGCATTTGGCAGGTGGGTGTGTGACCCAGCTTTGGGCATGTGGGCCGCCCCCCTCCTCGCGCGCACCATCAAAGTCCAGTGGAGCTCCTGTGTTAGGAGAGAAGCCAGCTTTGTGCTTTGGGTACCAGGGTGATCATTTCCCATTACCTTCTTATAATATTGGGTATTTTCTTTCTAGCTGTGTAGGATGGATGAAACTCACCAAAGCAAAGTGAAAGTTGTGAAATTCAGGGGACCTAGTTCCGTTTTGAGAAAGCCTTCTAAACTTCCTTAAGAAATACTAGGAATAGCCTGCTGTATATTTCTTCTTTGTATTTCACGGTTTTTGACATGCATAAACACCTTTCTTTCCATTTCCCCAGACTTACCCAATTTTAGTTCTTTATTTTTGGTTATCTGCTCTCTGGGGATTGCGTGGACAAGTCTCCAGTTGATTTATGAAGTGGGCCAGTAGTCTTATTGCAGTGCATTCTCTGGTTAATGGAGAGAGGCATCACCAAAACGTCACAGTTAATGGAACAGTTCATGTTATATGGAAAACCCTCTTTTCTAGTTTCAATATGGGGCCTAGGAGAATAGCAGCGCAATACCAGCTACTGCTGTACACTTGCAAAATCTGCACACGTTTTCATTTTTGGATGGGTAAGTCCTGAAAGGAGCCAAAGACATGACTCTGAATCACAGCGTTTCTTCTTCCTGTTTGTAAACAGGCAGGTGTTTCCCCCACAAGTCACTGTTTGGCTTGGATGGGTTTAAAAATTTGGGTCAGGATAGCACTTTTCAGAATTCTTTCTTATATCTGGAAACCCAAGGCTGTGCCTACAAATAAATGCCTCCAGAGGAGGGAGTGTGTTCAGGGCATTTTCTTTCTTTTTTTTTTTTATCGGGCTAAGTGACTTTATTAGAGAAAGCCAAGATGACAACGGACTTAAGAGTTGGCATTGGGGCCCTTCTCCTTGCCAAAGGTAGGCACAACATTGACAAAGTGCCGGTTGTACTGCATACGCCTCTTGGCCCGGCCCGTCTTCTTCTTCTTTTCTCTTGTTTGCCCACCTTTGGTGTCTGACCTCTTACTTTCCCAGCTCGGGCCAGGGAACCATGGACTTTACCTCCAAGCACGCGGCCGGCTACTTCCAGAGCGCTCAGAGCCTCCACCCCACACTGGCCCAGGGTAGCCTCATCCTCTAGGGGCGTGCCTGCCATGAGCAGCACTTGATCTTCTGGAGCGATGCCCTCCAATGAGGCTACATGAGCCGTGATCTGGGCGACCGTCTCCTGGCCGGTCACCTCGAGAGTGTGTAGCTCCTGGGCACGGACAAAGAGCTGCATGTTGGCGACTGAACCGCAGATACCGCTGCTGCTACCTCGAAGATGGAGTCGAGAAAGAGCCATGGCATTTTAAGGCAGTAATCTGGCCTCTCACAAATGTGTGAGCATAGGGGCATGAGGTACCCGTTACACATACAAAGCTCCTGTGTATGCATCCCCCTTCCAGGTACCAGCAAATGTAGAGAAATGTCAGGATCGGATGGAGTGTTTCAATGCTGATCTGAAAGCCGACATGGAGAGGTGGCAGAACAGCAAGAGGCAGGACTTCCGGCAGCTGCTCATGGGAATGGCCGACAAGAACATCCAGTATTATGAGAAGGTAATGAGCAGGCTGACAGGATGACAGTCTTCTCCTTGAGGAAGCGTTTCTAATGGCCAGAGCCTCTGGTCAGGGCCTGCCAGAAGTCCAGAAGGGTCCTGCTGGGCTCATCTCCTTCCCTTAATTTATGTGTTTAGTCTTAGCAACCCTGTGTGTCCTCACCCTGCTGTGCTGGATGTGGTGCTGGGTTTGGAAGCCGGGGGGTGGGGCGGGAGGGGGCCTGGGTGCCCACAGGAGTTTTACTTGCACACCCTGCTGATGGAAGCAGCAGTTTTATCCTCCAAGCCCTTTAGTCCTTCCAGCGGCTGCTTCCCAGTCAGTCAGGCCTACAGCGCAGGGATGTCCCCAGTTGATAGAGGCTTCGGGGTTCCTTTAAGCTGTTCTGTGGTTCTTCACACAGGGGTTCTTCCCTTCATTGTGCTGTGGGTCCCTTTGGTCATCTGGTGAAGCCTAGAGACCCCTTATCAAAATACTGTTTCTTTTTTAAAAATAGACTTTGAAGTACTGTTTTTAAGTACCTAAAACAAAGGGATGTAGGATTACAAAAGAAAACTTTTAAAAACAGTTTTTTTGCTGAGTCCCCTTAAGCTGTGGACTTCAAGGTAGGCGTCCCGCCCGCCACCCTCACACACACGCAGCTGTCATCAGGCTGCAGCGGAGTATCCTCAACGTTTGCTCCTAGCGTGTCCAACCCTAGGTCATTGCTGCTGACGAATTCCCATATTCCTTAAAGCTTAAAGTTATCGACGAAGAATGGCCCAGTGGTAATTCAACGAGTAACCTGTAGACTTAAAATCAAGCCGAACAAGCATTAACGCAGCTACTCCCATCACAATTCTAGAAACACGTCGTCATCTCAAGCTGGAAGAATCCGTCTTTTTCAAAAGCTTTGCTGGTTCTGGCTGCTGTGCAGAGGCAGTGTGTCTGCATCTTGATCGGGAGGAGGGTTAAGGAAGAAAGTCATGGAATGGCCCTTACTTGCCAGGTCTTAGTAAGGGCTGTTTCACAGGGAAGGGGGAAGGTGGCGTACGCCTCTCCTCAGTACCTTTCTCATGGGACCCCCACCGTGTGTCTGCATTGGCACTGGGCCGAATGCTTTGCATATGTGATCTCATTAAATTTAAATTTAACCCCCATCATGACACTGTGAAGTGAGTTTTAGGGGCTTTCAATTGAAAGCTGAAGAAATGGAAGCTCAGCAAGGTTTTAAAACTCTGCCCAAGGTCACTCACCTTGTGAATGACTGAACTAGGATCGGACTTGGCTCTCCGGGTCCACAGGTCTGAGAATTAACCACACACGGTCAGTGAGGGGGACAGAGACCACGGATCTTTGGGGACAGTCCTGACTGCCCAAAGGTGGAAACATCATTCCGTGTGCAGCCAAGGCCTCATTCCTCTGTTGACTGTGCTCTTAGACAGGGTGCCTCTCTGCGCCTTTGTTTCTTCATCTGCAAGATGGGAGTGATCCTTATCCATTGAATGATGGTGAAGAAATAATGAAATGATACCCGAGAACCTCTAATGTGCCTGGCAGATGGTGGATACTCAGTGAATGGTGCTTCTTTCCCTCGTGCACTCACTCTAGCCCCGCTTCCCACTGCACCAGTGCTGACTCAGTTGGATGTTCATTCCTCCTCTTGGTGATTAATTCCAGTGTTCCCAAGGCCCGCGTCCCAGGACTCAAACCCAGGGCCTTTATCCACGTCTTGCCGCTATACTGCAAACAGGGCCACTGTCTTGGGGCCTCGTCTTGGCTCCTACTTACATTTCACAGATGCTTTTTGTGTACTGTCTGTGTACAAGGGACCAGGTACACGTCGGTAAACAAAGTGGCAGGACTCCTGCCATTAAGGAGCCGTCTGTCTAGTGGAGGATAGACGTTAGTCCAAGAATCCCACCTTTTCAGAGAAATACGTGCCCTACAAGAAAAGAACAGGAAACTGGGAGGAAAGACTAGGGGGCATCATTCAGATCAGGATGGAAGCGGGCAGGTAGAGTGGGCAGGAAAGGCCAATCTGAGGAAGTAACATTTAACCTGAGTCTCGGAGACAACAAGTATTCCAGGCAAAGGGAGCAACATATTTAAGGGTCCTGGGGTGGGAAAAAGCTTGAGTGTTTGTCCAGTGGTTAACTTTGTGAAGAAAGCTGGTATTTAGTTGGGTCTCTGGTCAAGGGGACCTTTTGCTTCCTTTGTAGTTTTTGAAGTTTTTTACAATGAAAATGTTTCCATGTAATAGTTGTATAAAAAAATACGTTTTAAAAATGCTAAAAAGAAAGAAAAAGCAAGCTGGTGTGGCCTTGGTTCCCATCATTGACATAGAAGAACCTTCCAGATCAGAGATGATGGCCGAGGGAGAGAACAGGACCCAGGATGCCACGGACCCCACACTGGGTCTCTTGCTGACAGCAAGCTCCTTGAGGCTCCCTGGGCTTCCTTCTTTTTTTTTTTTTTTCTTTTCCTGGGCTTCCTTCTGTAGGGCAGGGTCTGAGTCCAGCTGCTTCTCCAACCTCAGAGTCACCAAGGAAGGAAGCAAGGAGCTATTGCACCACTCCCTTCATCCGGCTTGATCTAGGGATGCGTCTCTCCTCCCCCATCCTCAGGTCTCCTCCCCAGATGACTTAACACAAAGCCTTGCTTCACCCTTGGGCTGCTCCTAAGAAAGGCCTTATGTGGTTCTTCTCTCCTCTTTATGCAAGAGACTGCTCGAAGGGCAGGTCATTTCTGCCGAGCAGCGTGCTCTCAGAGGACAGGGCCAGCATCTTCCAGGTTCTTGGCTCTTCTGAAGGGTCTGGAATGAAAGGCACGTGTGTAGTGGAAAGAACGTCCACTTTGGAATCACGAGCTCTGCCGCTCATGAGCTGTGTGTCTTGGAAAAGTTTTTTTTTTTTTAACCTCTCTGGGTCTCATTTTCCCCACCTGTGAAATGTGTGTTTGTGTAATAAACAATAATTCTACTTGCTAGAGTTGTTCCGAGGACTAGTGACAATGAATGTAAAATACATAACAGTGTCTGGACATGATAAAACTCAACAAGTAGAGTTCCCTCTCCCCATTTTCCTTTATGGGAGATCCGGGAGTGGCCCATACAAGGAGATCTGAGGTGGCTGAAGAAGAGCGGGTTTTCCGCCCCCTCTGGGTCAGGTGGCTGGCCCGTTCCAAGACAATTTACATACTCCTGCAGGCGCCACCCACACCTGGAGCAGTGTCTTCATCCTGGCTGAGAACCTAGGGCCTCACCAAGGGTTTGCAGCCTGCCCTCTCTCCTGCTTTTGGAATGGAAGGAATTTCTTTCAGTGAATACATTTCCACTCACTGATATGAACTTTAGGGACAGTGCATTTAGGCCTCATAGAGACGCTGCAGTCTTCCTTAGAGATGGGGGCAGGGGGAGATGTAGTCCAATACCTGTTGCCTCCCTTCTTGCTGCTAGCTCTGCGTAATACATGTAGGTGTCGTTAGACCAAGGTGACCCAGCAGGATTGACAGTGTGAGGGTATAGATCAAAGCAGAATGAAGACGCTGACCCTGAAATCTGAAACTCCACGCTGATGCTCTGTGTGTGTGTGTGTTGTCGTTCCAGTGCCTCATGGCTTGGGAGTCGATTATCCCACTACTGCAGGAGAAGCAAGAGGCCAAGTAAGCTCCTTCCTGGGACAGAGACTCTCCTACCTATGCCGGGCATGGCGCCCACACCGGAATGTCCCTGCAGTGCTAGAGAGGTAGCACCAAGAAAACAATACAGAAACATCTCTCGTTTGTGTATTTCTTTCCCTTCCCCCCACCTTTGTCCGACAGTTGTTTTCAGTGAGTATTTATTCCTTGGTGGCGTCTGTAAGGCTGTCATCATCTCTCAGCAGAAGAAGCATACCTCCGTGGTGCGAAGGAACCTGTTCGGTGGGACACTACGAGGATTTGAAACTGAGGGACAAGACAGCCCTCAGCTGACATTCTGACATCTCGTTACAGTCCCCTCTTTGGGGACGGCAGAGTTGCCTGCCGTGGAAGAGAACCCGGGTCCTGCCTTGCAAGGCCGTGAGGAAGGCATGGACAGAAGGCAGCTCCTGCCTTCCGTGGATGCACAGTGGGTCTGGAATCGACCTCCACGGGCCTCGACTCGTCTCGGCCTAGAAGGAGGTGTCGGCGCCTCTGTGGAAAGCCCTTAATGTACAGTGTAGCTCTGAGTGTGGCCTGCTGCCTGCCTGTCATGAGTGACACCTGTGTTATGGTTTGCGGTTCGCATAGGACCGTTTAATCAGTGTCTAGGTGCGTCCATGCTAGAGCAAGCAAGCTAGCATCCTTGTCCTTTATGCGATGCCTTGGGAAGCCGAGGGGGCAGTGCTCCCCGAACTTGTTTCTGACACTAAAATGTAGTAGATTGGAAACTGTTTTGTGTAAAATGAAAAAAAGGTGCATTTTTCTCTGTGACGTTCTTCGATGTTCTTTTGCTTGTTAAATGTCATCAGGGTAGAGAGTTAGGCCTGTTAGGGGTCATCTGTTGTCTTGAAGTCAGAGTAGCTCTGAGGTGTTGAGGTCAGCGGGCATATACCAAGCGCCACCTCCCATGTCTGCTTTGTGCAATTTGCCTTTACCTCACCAAAAACTCCTAGTTTAATGTCTCCTGCTGTGTCGGCTGAATGTTTGCGCATCCTTTTGGGGAGAGGCTGGCATATTCTTATGGTACAGTCAAGATGTGTAAACTCAGTCTGAATGCTCTACGTGAAGTGCTTTAACCTTACTCTTTCCTAGTCAGGAAGAAGAGTCTGTATCCAGGTGGGCCTCGAAGATGCCAAGTGTGACAGCGAACTCTTTGCTACTGGTTAAGCTGAAACCTCCTCAGTTTGCAGCCACGTTCCTGGGGACGGCTGCATCTGAAGTCTTCATTTCAAACTATTAGCAGGTTTCCTTTTCAAGTGTGTCAACACAAAACAGACAGACAAAGAGGATCTCTCTTCCAGCTTGTTTTTTTCCCCTCATGAAGTTAAAACTACCTGTGTCATGTTTGTGTTCTCTCGTCTGTGGCTCATCTCTATAAAATTACAAATCTGAGCCTCAAATAAGCGGTAGTATTATTTTTTTTTAATAAAACAGCTGTGCTGAGACACTGCTGCGTTTGCAAGTGAACCTGCAAATACTGGTCAACGTGCAGACTGCTGAGGTCACTGCATTCCGCTTCTAGCTGCAGATCTTGGGGCAGCCACGGCTGTGATGCTGGTGGGGCAGCCGTTGGACAGCCCAGGACAGTTTGGTTCTGCTTCATCGTGTTTGAAAAAGTCGCGGTTTAAGTGATAATTTGTATATCAGTTGGTACTTGTGCACACTGTTAGACCCCATTTGTGCTATTCTAAAATCCTTTGATGTGAATTTTCTGTTTGGTACAATTAGAGATGATTCATTGAAGCAGAAGGGTAAGAACAGTCCATAGACCCCGAGTGGTGAGTCAGTGTTTCCTTCTACCTCTAAACCATCCTGTTGGTGTGGGTGTCGATGTCCAGGTCCAGCCTGAAAGCTTGCTGGTGGAATCGGGGCATGCATGTGATAGTGGGTTGATGGCCTTCTATGGCTATTTGGCAGAAAACTCTAGACTGACCCAGAGGCGAATGCTTATCTTTGGGAACATGTGAAGTCTTGCCTGGTGGAACGTATGCTTTAAAAATGTTGTCCAGTGTGATGAACGCTTGGAAAGAACTGTGGAAGGAGTTCCAGGAAGACTAGACTCTAGTCTGCTGCTAGTTGCCAAAGCCCAGGCACATTCCTGTGGAAGGGTTAGATGGGCAAGAAGGCAGCCCTACCAAAAAAAAAAAAAAAAAAAGAAAAAACCATCAGGTTCCTTGCTAGGATATATGGGGAAGGGGAAGGGGTTGGGGTACACAGTCATCCCCTTACATTATTGGAGGCAGAAGACTGGTTCTGAAGGGATGCAGGCATCTTGGGCTTTTATCTTTCTCTGTTTGGTCTCCCTGTGATGTGCCTGTGCTTTAAGGCTCCAGAGAGAGCTGGAAAAGGCAAACCGACCTCCAGCGTGCCATTGATAGCAGAGCTTGGAGGACCAGGGTATCTTGCAGACTTCCTTGGAGAAATGGTCTTTCCAGAAAAGGGACCTTTGTCCCTTACTTCTGGCTGGCATCTGATGAGGTGAGGAGGCTGGCGCAGAATGCCAGGGACAGTAGGCAGCGGAGGAGGCCTTCCAGCCCTTCCCACCCCCGCGGCTCCCTCGGGCCCCCGAGGGTCAGCAGCCCCAAGCATTCACCTCTCCATCTCCATCAGCATGAAGGTGATTCCCTGTGAGAAGTGTAACCCAGAGACTTAAGTGCCAAAGACTGACCCGTAGAGGCTTCATCACCCCATCCTTCTTGGCTCCACAAAAGTCGGGGTGCTGAGATCACTGACTCCTCTCTTGTATTTATTTTCCAAGAGGTTTTTGCTTGAGGATGTGTCTTACCTCAGGCAGACACACGTGGACAGGTTGAGACTTGAGCACGTGGCAGTGGAGTGGAAAGTCATCCCTGTCAGCTGTCCCTGGGCCGGGGAAGTGAAAGGTTCAGTTCACCTGGGTGAGAGATCCAGGCTAGGGCAGAAGAGAGAATTCCTAGAAACTGAGCAGATCTTAAAGATGCAGGTGAGGTTGAAGAGAGCAGTTGCGATTTGCAGCCGATATGGACACTGCTCGTCCTTACCACATGCTGGATCTCCAAGAAGACTCTAGGCTGCTCTGCTCAAAGCAAGGAACCACTGCCCCTGCTCGAGCCAGGTTTGGGATTGGATTTTATCATTTTTTAAGACTTAACGATGATTCCTGGGTGACCTCAGAAAAGTGTGATTATGGACGTGACGGGCTCTTATTTCACCGTGCTGCTCATTGAACCCACCACACACCTTTCTATAGCTGAAATAACAAATACCAGCACGACTCTGGGGATGGTGGTGGATGTAACCTAAGTTTGTCTTCATGCCAGATTTCAGCCACACCCAGAGTGTGTCCTTCATGTTACTGACTTGAATGTGTTTTCTCAGTGGCTGTCCACACAAGGGAATTAAATGCGCACCTGCTGCTCGTTTCCTGTGAGGCTGCCGTTTGTGTTGGGACGATGGGCTGTTCTGTTTAGAGAAGGGCACGATGCCGTGTGGCAGTGTGCACATGGACTTTCCCTTGGGACGGTATCAGCCCAAGAGGCACCCAGAGGTTGTGTGACTTGGCCCTGCTGTTGATAGCATTGAAATCACGGGCACCTGGCTCTGTTTTGATGCCATTCGTTGGGCCACACAAGAGTCATCCTCTGCCCTGTGTCCTGAGCTGGTGAGAGTGGTGGGAGAGCCAGGGCCAGAGCAGCCTGTCTTCTGAGCAGAAACGGCCCTTTAGAGCAGCCAGAGTAGAGCCCAGTTTTAACCCATCCCAAGACCCAACACAGGTCTGCCTGTTGTCAGGGTACGGCACACAAGTCCTGGCCCCCACCTTCCCAGACACCTACTTTCAAGGTCTGTGGAAACTGGGTCATCTCATCCTGAGGCTGGGGTAACACTGCTTTGGCCATCCCTGTCTGCAAAATTGTTTTGGGAATTTGGGTGTACCTTCTCCCTTTCAAAAATCCTCCATGTGCCACCAGATTGAACACGCCCTCTCACTTACTGTGTTTTCTCTATTCAGATGACATTTCCCTCAAATTTACCTGCCATCCCCCGGGCCAGACCTACAGATTGAGCTGGATGTGTTGGGAGTTGTTCGCCTCTTTGTGGTTTGTTAATTGAGTGAATAAACCAGGAACCTGATTTTTCATCAACCCACCCAATAGGTGGTTTTGCTTTCTGTATTAAGGATGTCTGGTCTCTCCATAGTTGCACAGATCAGAGCATGCGCAGGGCTGTCTACGTTAGAAAAGGTTTGGGGTGGGGGGGCAGTTACAGGGAGTGTGACTGTTTTTTCTTAATCAGATGTCTTTGAAATGCTCTCCGGGTGTGACTGTCTGACCCCTTCTGTGTGGCAGAAGAAATATGTTATCGAGGTAGTTTTTACTACTGTAGATAGTCTGTAAATAAGTGCTTTGAAAAAATAACGTTAACAAACCAGTAAGATATTTGTCTGATTCATAAACATTTTGTGTATTTAGTGCTTGAAAGTCAACAAATCCAGACTTTTAGAAATGCCACAGACTGTTAAAAGCCTAACTCTACTTTTTGAGAAGTTGTCAACACCTGCTAATATGCCTTATTCTTCAACTACTGTTTTTTAGATTCTGGATAGAAAGAGTTTTTAGAGATGTAATCAGTTGTTCAGTTTAAATACTTGAGGCCTAACATAGCCAGTCTTTGTTCCTCTTAAAGAAACAAGCAAGAAAGTGAGGTTCATACTTAGGGCTGCCTTTTGGGAGGAGAAAGCTAAGTATTGCTATTGCCAAATGATATTTTTGATAATGTAAGGAAACACAGGGACCACAAAACCTTTTTGTTGTTGTTGTCGTTGTTGTTTTAAAGTGTGAAAGATTAATTTAGTGCCTTTTGGCACCTTTTTGATATTACGGTATCAGCACCGACAAATCACTTAGATACAGAGAACTCTATAGATTATGACAATATTAAATGTTTACCCTGATTCTGTAGAACAGCTTCTTAAAAGATACCGTGGGGGCCTCAGAGCAGCATATTTTACATAGAAATTCTCCGCAGGTTGAAATGCCAAAAACGCGAAACGTGCTGTTGACACGCGTAATTTAGCCCTTTGTCAGAGAGCTTTTACTATTAAAACCAGCGATTGGGTACAGCACGTGCGCCTCTCTGGGCGGCGCTGCCCTCTCACCGGGTCATTCTGGGTGGCCGGTAGGCCAGGTGTGAGCAGGTGACACCTGCCAGCTCCCCTGTGTGACAGGCTGGCTCACAGTCTCAGACCATCCCTCCAGTCACAAATGATACTGGAAGGAGGGAAGGGGGATTGCTTTTTCCCCAGTGGGGAAGTGGGGAGGGGAAAGTACATTGCAAACAAAAATGTGACTCAGTGGGACAAAACAAAGCCCGTGTCAGCTGGGCCCCCGTCGAATAACAAACCAGCAGTTCTTAGCAGTCAGCACCGTTCTCCTGGGCACCCCGGAGGTTTTGGTCCGTTGTACTCTTGTACCTGTTCCCTTGATGTCTGTGTGTCGGGAATGCGTTCAGACATGATGTACATCTGATATATTCCCGTGAAATAAGCTGCCAGCAAACTTTCTAACTTGTATTTTAACTGTTGGAAAAACAAACAAGCAAAAAAAAGCCTTTTGCTTAGGTCATGTCCAAGTTATGGACTGTTTATTATTTTAGAAATCATTCTTTACATTTAAAATTTTACAAGAAAAACCCTGAGGTATTGATCAAGTCCTCCGTGTAAATGTGTGCTCTTCTCTCCGTGCTGCTGTTCAGCCACATCAAAAGCTGTGGGGAAAAAAAAAATAAATGTGCTTGAGAATGTGTGTCCTAGATGAGAAGGCAACTTATTTCCAGATCAAAGTCTTTGTTTCATGAAGCTACCAAACTTTAAAAAGAATGTCACCTTTTTTTTTTCCTTTGTTATGGAACCCAGAGATTATAAAGAGAAAAAAGTTCTTGTTGCATTTTTGATGCTGGCATGAGGTTTTTGTCCACTTTTTTTCATATATCTGCGTATAAAAAATTCTGTCCATTGTGTACTATGGGATTAGTATTACATTTCAAGGTAAACAAAAGAATTTGTATTGCTTGATAAACTGTTAGCTTGTAAATTTAAAACAGGTTTCTTTACCTCAATTAACTTAAAGTAATGGACCAATAAACCTATAAAAGACGCTTTCTTTACCTTGAGTCACGTTCCGTTTGTACGGCTTTATAGGACGGGGAAACATGCGTGCCTCTTATTTTCTCTGAAGAGGTATCCATTTGCCTGCAAGAATCAGGATATGCATAGCGACAGGAAAAAAACCTACAATTTAACTGTTTTTATTCTTCATTTCTTTTTGGACTTGTCTTCAGTTTGCCCTCTCCTACATCTTACAAGGTGACACCAATCTGAGGACATGAAGAAACCACCCAATGTCCATCTGTAACCGTGATTGGCAGGAAGGCTGGCAGCCAGCGCAGGTAATTACATAAAGGATTTCTTCCTATTCTATCCCGTAGCAAAGCACAATGTCATATTCTGAGAGCCAGTCATTTCCTGATTTTCTTTTTTTTGATTCCTACGTTTTAAAAAAATCTGTAAAGAAAGAAGAAATGTCTGTAGCTCATTAGAGCATGCAAGTGTGTTGTAAATTAGAGAGCAGAATGCTCAGTTAAGCTTACCTAATGATGGCAATGCACTGGAAAAGGACTTAAACTGGTGCTAAACTTGGCTTACGGATAGTAGACACCATTAATATAAGGCTTCAGTTATACAAAATGAGGCAGCAAGGTGTGGGATAAGAGATTTGGGATCAAATGTCAGCTTTTCTACTTTCTAGGTATGTGGCTTTGGGCAAGTCACATCTCTCTGAAATTCAGTATTATGATCTTTGAAATGAAGACATGCCTTTCCTGAAAGGTTGCCGATAGGACTAGCAATAATGGTCTGCACCTAAGGGTCTGCTGGGCCCACATTATGTGATAACCCTTATGGAAAGACTTGTCCTGTTGTTCAAATATGGCCAACTTAAATATCAAGGATGTTCCCATAACAGTCCTTCCTGTGTGCTTTGCCAGTTGAAAATTTAAAAGGGAGATATATCATTTTTTAAACTGTTTTCCTTTAAAGAAGATTATGAAAATAGTATGCTGGAGGATTGTAGTCAGACTGAAGGTCTGGGGAATAGATGGGACTAGATCATAAAAAAGAAGTGATAGAAAGGGGGATGGATTTCTGTGGTGAGGGGAAGGGGTCAGAGATTACTTGGAGATTTCCAGCCTGGGAGCTGGGAGGTGATGCCATTTACTGAAATATGAAATCAATCAAGAGGAAAACAGAAGGTGAAGGATAGGCTTAGATGGTGGGGTAGGAGAAGAATTTGGTTTGGACTTACGTTTGAGGAAACCCAGGGGGAGGTGTTGACTAGATTGTTGGAAAGAGAGTTCTGGTAGACTAGATTACCTGGGAAGGGAACCAAGGGCAGGGCTTTGGGGGCCTCAAGAATTAAGGATACAGGGAGAGGAGGAGGGGGACTCAGCAAAAGTTCGTAAGGAGAAAAAGACCCATAGCTTAGAACAGTGGTTCCTAAGCCTGAGAGCTTGTGAAAACACCAATTTTGGGGCCCCACCCCCAGAGTTTGATTTGGGTAGGGCCTGAGAATTTGCATTTCTAATAGGTTCCCATGGGACGCTGATGATGCTGACCCAGGAACCACACTTTGAGAACCAATGGGTTAGAACATCTGCTAGAAGACCTGGAGAAAGCGGAAAAGGTTTGACACCACTACCCTGGTGACAGGTGGGGTTGAAAAAGAGTCAATACTAGGGTGTTGAGAGCCCAGCTTAGGTGAAAACCCACACATTTATGGCAGGGTCAATGTGGACAAATAAGGAAATTATTCTAGATGTTAAGAGCAAGTTTTTTAGGACAGGAATGGAGAAGCCAATGATGAGATTCATTTAGGTTGGGGAACCGGTTCAGGGGCTAGGGTTGGGGAGGCTAGGTAGTCAAGAGGAATGAGCATATTGGTGAGAGTTTGTTTAGCGAGGTAGAGCATGGCCTTGAGCTCATCTTCCCCATCCCACCTTCTCTGCCGATGTTGCCTGTCTCAGCGAGGATCTCTGCCTCCTTAGGAAGGAGATTTGGGGTTGTCTGAGTCATTCTTGCCTCCCTCTACCTCACCCTTTGCAGTTCATCCATTACCAACTTCTGTTGACCTCTAGCTTGCAAATATTTCTCCAAGTCCATCTAACCTTTCTCCATCCTCGTAGCTTCTTACCCAGTGTCGGTCCACCACCATCCTTCACCTGGATTCATGCAGAGGTCTCTCTGCTTGTCTTCCTTCTGCAAGTCTTGCCCACTCCTTCCTCCACCAATTCATTCTCAGTGCTGCGGGAGTCCTCTTTCTAAGATAGAGGTAAGCATTCCATGTTCCTGCTTAAAACCTTTCAACACCTATGCCATTACTCTAAAGAGAAACTATTTTTTCCTTTTAAAAAAACTTTTTATTGAAGTGGAGTTGATTTACCATGTTGTTAATTTCTTCTGTTATGTATATTCTTTTTCATGTTCTTTTCCATTATGGTTTGTCACAGGCTGTTGAATATAGTTCGCTGTACTGTGCCGTAGGACCTTGTTGTTTATCCATCCTATATAATAGTTTGCCTCTGCTAATCCCAAACTACCATTCCTTCCCTCCCCCGCCTTTCCCTTGGCAACCTCAAGTCTGTTCTCTATATCCGTGAGCCTGTTTTTGTTTCATAGATACGTTGATTTGTATTGCATTTTAGATTCCACGTATAAGTGATATCATGTGGTATTTGTCTTTCTCTGTCTGACTTACTTCGCTTAGTATGATAATGTCTAGGGCCATCCATGTTGCTGCAAATGGCATTATTTCATGCTTTTCAATGGCTGAGTCATAGTCCATTGTATATATGTATCACATCTTCTTTATCCATTCATCTGTCAATGGACATGTAGTTTGTTTCTATGTATGGCTATTGTAGGTGGTGCTGCAGTGAACATTAGGGTGCGTGTATCTTTTCGAATTACGGTTTTCTCCAGATACATGCCCAGGAGTGGGATGGCAGGATCATATGGTGACTCTATTTTTAGTTTTTGAGGAACCTCCATACTGTTTTCCATGGCTGCACCAATTTACATTCCCACCAACAGTGTAAGAGGGTTTCCCCACCCTCTCCAGCATGTGTTATTTGTAGACTTTTAAATGATGGCCATTCTGACTGGCATGAGGTGGTACCTCATTGTAGTTTTGATGTGCACTTCTAAAGAGAAACTTAAAAAAAATTTTTTTTATTGTGGTAAAAGTCACATAATATAAAACATACTATTTTACCCATATTTAACTGTACCATTCAGTGGCACTAAGTACATTCACATTGTCGTGCAGCTCTCACCATCATCATCTCCCGAATTTTTCACCTTCCTAAACTGAAATTCTGTCCCCTTTAAACACTGACTCCCCATTCCGCCTCCCCACCCCACCACCTGCTGGCATACCAGTGTACTTTCTGACTCTATGAATTTGACTATTCTAGGTATAAAGAGACTTTTTAAAGGCTCTGTCTTGATGTTGTTCCTCCTCACTGTTCCAATCTCACCTCTTGATTCCATTGCCCTGGATACCTCTCCCTCCGTCCCTCTTTTCTCCTCTCACGTTGCTTTCATATATTTGGGGATATTTTCACCTTCAGGCCTTCCAGCGTGTTCTTTCTGCCTGGAACGTCCCTCAGCGTCCCACCTTGATAACTCCTTATCTTTCCAGTCTGACGCCACTTCTTTTGAGAAGCCCTCCCTGCGCTCTTGTATCTGCATTATGCGCTCCCTTATGTTAGCGTTTACTATAGGATACATCGTTGTTGCCTCCTGTTCTGCCTGCTCCACCCATTCGATAGCACACTGGGAGGGCAGGAGCTGTCGTGCTCTTGCTGCATCTCAGCACCTAGCGCGGTGCCGGGACCTTAGTAGATGTGGCATAAAGAAGGGATCAGCGATACAACTCTGAGCCCAAATGCTCTGAGATTTAAATGCTAGCTTTTAAGCATTTGCAAGCTTTAAGTTTAACCCTAGTCTAAGAATGCTATGTCTGAGTTCTGGTGGGAACCTGACCAGAGAAAGAATGACTCACACACGCATGCTGTGAATGTTGATTTTATTAGTAGGTGAGTCTTTTATACACATAATTAAAATAGGCTGTAAAAATAAGTACCTCAAAATAAAATGGCTCTTAGTATATCACCCCTCTCCGTTTACACCTCCCACTTTGGGAAATATGGTGACTTTCAGGATCAGTTGACTGAAAGTATCCAATTATATTCCTTTGAAGAAAGCCTTTTGATATTTGCTTCTTAAAAACAACAGTAACAGCAAAACTACCCTGAAGTCAAATGCCTGAGCTCCAGATTTCTCTGGAGTTAGTTGTTCACAGATAACAAGGCCTTCCGGGAAGAAAGCTACGTTTTTTTCAAGTTTCTATTTTAATTTAAAAAATATTGACTGACGTTCACTGTTGGCAGTTCTTACAAAACATCCCTTCCCTGTCCCCCTCGGGCTCTTGAAAATGTGTGCCTTTGAGTTCTCACGCAGGACCCCTGGGTGTGACTAGTTACCATATGTTGGAGCCCTCATACCAGACAGAAGCCCCTTCCATTCCTGGAAGAAAAGGGGCTTCAGTGTCTGGTATGGCTGTGTGTGCGGCCTTCATATGAAAGTTCACATTCTGTCTGCAGAACCTAACCTCTGACTGATAGTGATATCTGAAAGCTGAGAAACTTTCTCCATCACCAGGAAAATGCTTTTCCCTACCCACTAGGACCCTTGAGCCAGAGCAAGTCGCTCTGAAGCTGACTCTGGCTGGAACTCGGGTTTCTTGAGCAATGGGTAGACTTTGGGGGCCCCGGCCATTGCTGGTGTTTCCGGCTCCCGCAGTTCAGCACCTTCCTTTCTCTGTGATGTCTCCATGCTGCAACCACGAGGCTTGCATATAGGCCACGATGCTGTAAGAATTTACAATAGAGAATTATGAGAGAACAGCTGGAACGGGGCGGGGAGGTCTCTGGCCACCTCTTTATCACTGGTAGACTAGGGGGTTCTATCGGTTATGGCCGCAGAATGCTGTACTGCATGAAGGGAGAGGGCCCGAGGGAACTTCTCTCACTCCAGCCTCCTTCCTGTCCCATAACATCAAGAGCCCTTTGCATCTACATTTTCCTTTTCTTGGAGTCTCTTTCCATCTCACTTCTGCCCGATGATGAACTCCCATGTGGACCTCAAGATCAAGTTTTGCTCAT